TTTATGTAAGATATTTCGATATTGTATTTTTTTACACTCAAAATATCTATAATAAATATTTATATATATATATAATCTCTGATATAATCTATAATCGATTTAGTTTCTGCCAGAGAATTTTCGATAAAATAACTTACCACGCGATGCACCGAGAATGCACGATTGTGGCAGCAAAAAACAAGTCAGTACCAGTGGCCAATTCATCTTCGAATCTACAACAAAAAAAGGAGAATCGTTAGACAATACAATACCATTTAAGCGTTATTTGTACAACATCATCAAAAACATCGAAAAACAATATCGACTCAAAACGACTTGGTCGAAGTGCTGGAAATTCACGCGGAAATCGCTATTTGCCGTCTTAATGAATCGTGGCAATTGTCTTCAAATTCTGCCAAAATAGCTTGTAGAAACAAACGCCGAGTAATATCGGTTTTCTCCTTGGACTACTCCGAGACTTATCCTGATGAAACCCTGGGAAAAAACACACCCGGCGCAAATTAATGCGTGCTACACTCATTTCCAAACAACGGCCCCGGCACAATTAGGGGAGCGGCTCCTACGTGGTGTAATATTGATACGGAAAAGTGTTCCCTGCTAATCTTCCTTTCGGTCAGTTATAACCCGATGTCGATAGACGTGTTCGCGGCTACGTCACGAAGGGAGATGGATCGTTCTCGGCGCGATAGGAATTCGCGCGGGCGATCGATAATTCACGCCGGTATAATTCTTGTATCGGACTTGGAGAATAAGTAGCCCATTGACCTCTCGGGCACGTTCTGAAATTAGACCGACCGTGTCGATAAAACGTACCAGACATTCTCGTGTTGAAACACCGTCTCGCGCGGCTCTAATACGTTTCGAGTTCAATTTCATCGTGGCCTGCTCGCGAATCCACCCCGACGTAATAATACTTGTGAATCATTCGCCTTCCGATCGCTCAATCTTCTAAAATTTGAGGAAAATCTATTTTCTTCTAAAATCTGATAAAATCGAATTATCGCTAATATCTATTCACGTATTCCAATAAAAATACGCCGAATGATTTAGGGTAAACATCCCCTCATTCGCATTCATTTGGATCGCTCGCTTCGCGAGCGAGCATCCAACATTCTCCGGGACAGGGACAAAATTTAGCGCAGCCTTATAAGAGCTCGCATTCCACGCAAATTTTCGGAAGCCATGTACCGGACGGATCAGAGGGTTTCGTCATTGTGTTCGAAATGAACGCCCTCCCTCTTCTAGTTATATCCCAAAGAGGCGAGCTAATATCCGACATCTGGCTTTTATTTTTAAAGCTTCGTCGGGTTGATCGAACAACTCGGCGCGTTTTCTCAGAGTTTTAGCTTCCGAGTAAAATTCTCAAAATTTTGCGAACGTTTCTCCCCGTTCTCTCCCCCTCCCCCTCCCCTCCTCCTGCTATTCGCCGTGCGAGCGAAGCGAGAAAAAAGCAAGGGTGGAAACAAAGGGATGTAACAATGGATGTAACAATACGAGGTAAAGAGCGCGAAAGAACAAGTTGCCCTCCGCACTTAACGCGTTCACGCGCGATAAGATGTATAGATGAGATAAAACATGAAAGAATACGAGCACCGTGCACGATGAAATATGCATGTAAACATGCGCAAACGCGTGTACATCTTGTCACGTGATAAAGGCGCGAGATGCCGCGATATTCCGCGTTCGATGTAAATTACGTCGCGTTGGATGGAAAATGAATTTACGTTTTTTTTTTTTTCGAGAGTCGAGTGTTTTCGACTCTTGCCGCGCTAATGCACTCTTCCGCCGTAATTCTTTCGCGTCAATCCGCGAACGCGAATGCGCTCGCTTCTTACAATAGCCCACCCCCTGATTGATACAGGTACCACCACAATAGTTTTCAATGTCGCCCTATATGAATATCGCAGTCAATGGGCGCCAATTCAGTGGAGACGACAATCGAGTAGCGCTTGAGTAGCAATGCAACCCGCTTCGCTGAATATCTCAGAGTATATACCGATCGTATTCAATTGCTACTCAACTGTTGTCTCCGCTGAATGCGCCCGGTGTAAACATCAAATGAGATTTGGCCAGCTGTATTTAGCTTTGTACATACAATGGGAATATGGGCCCCGAGATTCTAATGTGTATTGACCGCGATCGATTGTGTTAAAATCTCCGCGAGCGGCGCTGCAGATAAAAGAAAAAAATTAAAGGAGAGATGTACTCAAGGAGGTTATTTCATTAATCTGTTGACAATCTGAGTATTTTGTGTCCGACCGACTTCTATGAAAGTTTTTCAGAAGTTTTCAGAAGTTCGAAGGGTTCGCCATTTTTTCGCATCTGAAATAAAATGTTGGTGATAGGAGAGATTTTGTGCGGTAGGACGACCGAATCCATCAATGTGATTCGGAATAATAATGAGTTAAATTTTACGCATTATTATTTAAGTATTGAACCTGTATTTTTTACGTCACTAGACACTACAGACGCGCGCTACGCGCGTTGTTTATTTTTTTTACATAGAAGGAACAAAAATTATATAATGAGATTATTTTTATTTTTTAAATGGTTGTTTATGTTTAATCGTGATTTTTTTCAACTTTTTTAAATTTTCTCTTTCTGTTTATTCTTATTGTTTATATTTCTTGCTATGTGTTTATACTGCTATTTTATTTATTTATTTATTAACTAACTTTTTTCATTCCTTTACACGGGCTGCGTTCACGCTATTTATCTTTTAAAACAGAAAGAGCAAAAATTATATAATACTGTTACACTTAATCCTTACAACATAATTTCAAAATGTCTTCGTGATGACAGCCGCTTATTTCGTAATACTTCGTAAGCGGTTGTCATCACGAGAGAACCAATCAGCATCGCCGATTCAAAAACGACAACAATAACTTCGATACATTCAAGTATCGATTTAACGTGCCTTTTAAGAAATGAAAAATAAATTATTTTAAAAATCACTAAAAGTATTGTATCTTCATTTATCTTCAATATTTAAATATTTGTTTTTATTTAAAATTTATTTAAAAGAAATATTATTTTAGGAAAAATCGATTTAGATAAAAGAATAAAAGTTCGATTCGCATTATGTGCGAGCAGAATAACATTGAGTCTCTTGGGAAAAATATTATTTTTGCACCAAAATAAAACAAAATACGTATATTTCAGCGATATTTGATTTTTTCTATTTGCTTCTTATTGAAAATCATTCTCATCTTCATGTTTTCGAATAATTATATTTTTTGTAGTTCTGGTATTTCTTTTTTCAAAGTTTCATTCTTAAACTATAAATCTTAATCATTTATATATATATATTTTTTAAGAAGTTATCATTTTTTAATGATAATACTTTTATTCAAATCTCTATTAATCTTTGGTAATTAACTTATACATTTTATTTTTGTCCAAAATGAAGTACAGATATCTACACTAGAAAATTGAAAGTATGTTCTCGAATTTTTTTGAGATAATTTAAATGTAACTCACACTTAAATGTAATTCTTCTAAGAGTTGAGAATGCTTCATCGATTGGATCATTCTTCTTTTCAGCTAGATAAAATATACGTTAGGGTCAATCATGAAACGAAAACAGATACACGAGCTCCATAAAAATCTTGAAAATTCATAGAGCAAATAAAACCACTCATAATATTGCCTTGTTAATGTTGCTTGTTTATTTTCATCACCTTTTATCCTGGCGAACTGATATTCGAGAAGTCGCTCTTCAGCATTTCTTTTGAATTTTAAAAATGCCTTATTACGGAAAATGTTCGTTCTGTACGATTATTCAGAGCGGATATTTCTCAATATACATTTTGTATTAATTTGTGCCGATCCGTTTCCTCTTCTCTCTATTTATTCGGCTCGCGATTAGCTTCTCGATTAGCTAATTTGCGTTACAAAGACTGCCGAATAATCGACTATTCACCGTAATATTACGGTCATTAATTAAACGATAATATTTCATATGTCGGACGATTAAATGCGGTACCCTAGTTTCATCGCGAACGCGGAGGAGAGCGTTCTCATTTGTAACTATCAAGGATGTAGACGGATGAAATCGCTCTTCATCACGACGTAGGATTCTCAAATAAAATCCCGGGGAAACTTAGTCGTTATTAACATCGGGAAAACGCGCGGCATAAATAAAGAATCCCAACCGTGGCATTACTTTTCTCTCCTCCTCTCCTCTCTCCTCTCCTCTCCCCTCCCCCCCTCTCCACCATCTCCGCCCCTGGTCGGAGATCCAACGGCCCGGTCCTTTTCTCGGCGCACTGCGATTTCGCGCGAACACCAGAGGGCAACTAATATCCGCGGCGGCAGCCTCTATTTTTCTTTATTAGCTCGTCGCGGCGTAACAATGCCCGTGCGCGCACACCGTGCCGATGTCAATGGCGCTGGCTTTTCGCAAACTCGCAAGCCGACCCCCGCAAGCCGGGCTGGATCGCACTGGATACGACCGAGAACCACATCTGCGGATTCCCGTAGAATATCGCCGTCGCCCGCGCGAACAAAGGGAGATAGCGGCGGGGGGTCGACGACGAGAGAATGTCTCGTACGGGGTGGATACGGGGACGAGAAGAAGGAAGAAGGAGAGGAGAAGCTCGACGGAAAGACATGGAAAAGGGTGCATTGCCTCGAGCGTCTCTTCGTGCCGGTCTCTTACGTCCTCTACCTCTCGGTCCTTACCTCTTCCAACCGCATCTTCCACCTTCGCTCTCTCTCTCTCT